AAGAAAGAAAGAAAGAAAGAAAGAAAGAAAGAAAGAAAGAAAGAAAGAAAGAAAGAAAGAAAGAAAGAAAGAAAGAAAGAAAGAAAGAACACATTTACACGTCGCCCTCTAGCGGTCATATGATGGACATGCAGCTCAAACACGTCAAAATACACATTTCATGTAAAAAACAAAACAAAATAAAACATGAGAGTTAGAGGAATATTTTTAATAGTGTCATTAATTAATTTACTGATATGTGAACAATTGATCAACTTTTAATTTCATTTAATCTAATTCATTTTAATATTTGAGAATTTTTTTTTTTGGAAACTTGACATCCAGTGGTGTAAATCCTCAGTTACAGTAGTAGCCATTCAAAACAGCCCCACTTTTCTTGATGGGCCCTTATCTGCTCCCCTACAATTCCCTTTTGAAACATCAATCTTTCTACTAAAATATTCTTTCTGTCATGATTTGTGGACATTAAGATCTAAAGAGAAGCTTTATCTCCTGGTCAGACCCTGTAATTCAGTGAGTGGGTCACTCCAGTGGCTGGAAGTTCAAGAGGATATTGCTGGGAGTTGTGGTCCTGCATTGAGTGGCAGCACCTCTTAAGTCAACTGGAGAATAAGCAGGAGAATGATGACAAAACAGAGTAGGAGGAGCTCTAGTTTTAAATGGAGGTAAATATTTTTTTCTAAAGGTGACAATCCATGTGTGAGGGACCGAGCCAGTCAAGCATGAGGACACAGTGGTGATTGTCAAGAAAACTGGGTTTTATTTCCCCATAGTAACAGTAATCCAAACAAAAATTTCAGGGCCCTTAAAAGAGGTCAAATGAAAAGACTAACGGCAAAAAACATCAAGTTCAAACATATCAAACCACAAACTAACTGAACAAATAAAACTGACCTGACATAACTGAACAGTTAGCTTACGGATTAAACTTAAATGACAATTAAACAAATTAACAAAATGAGCAAATCACAAAAGTAAGAAGAAGAAATTATGCAACATATTTAAAATGTTGAGTCCATGGTTTTCTCCCATAGTGGAACTCCAGATGGTACCACCCAATCAGTCCATGATCATGTCAGCCACATTCTCCTAGTTGATGGCAGAATATATTAAGCATTTGACAAAATTAAATATACAAAAGTTAACCAAATGTTCGCGCTACAATTGGAACTAATGTCTTCAATATTGTCAAAATAAACAAACCAATATATTTATGCTACTGTGTATTAAAACTTATGAAAAAGTGATTGTGTGTGGGGTTACTGACCATGTGACCATCACACCATGATTACGTTTTCAATTATATATAATATCATATCATCAGTTCAATTCAGTTTATTAAATAAAGCACTATTTTTACAACATATGTGTCATCTCAAGACATTCTGATTCTGCAGACACCATTCAATCACAAAATACAGTCAGATTTGTAAAAAGTGCCAATCTGAGAAAAAACAGGTGATTGCATTGAGTCACTGACTTGAAGAACACCCCTCCTGGAGGAGCTTGCGATGATGACCTTCTTCTGACCTTTATCATTGACTCAACAACAATCCCTCACACTAAGAATGCATGCAGAGATAGTGGAGAAAAAAACTCCCTCTTAACAGGAAGAACCTAACATACAGTTAGACACAGTAAAATATGAGCCACTAGCTATATGTCTAGCAGAGAAACAGGACTAAGCACTGAAAAAAACCCTGACACAGCCAAAAAGAAACAAACCAGATAACGCTGTTATCGTGAGAAAATCAGGCAGAATATAAAGTTATAGGTTAAAGTAACAAAAGAAGAGGATAAAGATAAAATGGAGGAGGATGATGAATAGTGGTCCCTGTGTCCTCTAGCACTCTAAGCCTATAGCAGCATAAATATAGAAAATAGCTTAGGGCAACCTACACATATTGGATGATGTATGAGAAAGGTAGAGCCAAGGCTGAACGTATGTCTATAATATGATATAACACAATACATTCCAGTACAATATATGTATGCATATAACTCCTACCTGCCTCCGCCATCATGCATGGATATATTCATGGTTATTTTTTGGTGTTTATAATGAGCCTCTAAAGTGGGTTTACATGTTCTCCCTATTCATGCATCGCCTATTAATCATTTTCAACCTCCCCCCCCCCCAACGAATCACACTCTCCTTTGTAGGGACAACTTTTAATTTTAGTCAAGAATTTAAATGTGTGTTCCAGCTGTGACATAAATGCTCTGTTCGAATTCATGGGATGCATCCTCAGAAGGCCAGATTCAAAGGATGATTACATCATAGCGCGGCATCACGCCCTTAAAATGCGTCCTTCTTTTCGCCTGATTTGAAGGACAGGTCCAATGTATCCTCCGTATCCTTGGATATCCCAGGATTCATTGCGAGACCAAGCAAGCCGGCTGCTCAGTGATCAGAGGAAATGGTACTTTGCGCCAAACAGTGGAGAATATTGGAAGTTCAGTTTAATAAAACATGTTTGAATAGTTCCGTCAGAAATTAATGAAAATATTTGATTGAATAGTTATTGAGTCAGATATGTAGCAGATAATGCTTGATTTATCTAAAGTTTTTTATCTCTTACTGTATAAATGTGTTTGGCCGTAATTTAAGGACAGATTCTAGTATATCTGCATGGTGGGGACTATAAATCTGATAGGATTTTTATTTTTTCATTGTTATTTAGCACAATTTGCTTAACTAATTATTTTTTGTTGTTGAACATTTGAGATTTTGCAGATATATTTTATATACATACATGGTTTAGATTTACTTATATCTTTCTAGTCCTTTAATAGAATAGAATAAAATAGAATAGAATAGAAAATGTTGTTCTTGTCCCACAATGTGCTCACACAAATGTGGACCTTAGAGAATAACATAATAGGGAATAGTTAAAAAATAAACAATAAAATACTGTCAAGTGTTTTAACGATATAAAACTGTGCACCTTGAGAATAAATAACCAATGTCCAGCTATGGACATTTTTACAGTAATGGATATTTGAAAATAGCAGCAACATCAAAGATGTGCAAAATGACAGCAGCATGTTTTTTTTAAATAAGGTTTATGTCATTATATTTGCTTTTATTTTTTCACGCTCCTGGTTGCTTCCTTTATTACACTCTGGATTCTCACGACTCACGAGTTTAGTCTTTGTTCACTTTACAATAAAAAAATTAATATAATAAAAATTAAAATAAAAAAATTTAAATAATTAAAAAGAGACAGCTAAGAAAACTTATTTTCCTGCTTTATGTGTCAACTGTCACGGTTGCTAAACGAACCATAGCAATCCGCCGTACCGGCTGACAAATGGTGCGGACCCGCTTTCCTGTTGTTTATGTCGCTTCACTTGTATTGAAGCACGTCATTGGTCGCCTGCATACACCCAGATGTCTGGACCAATGAGGGAGCGGTTTACTAATTGGCGGGTAGCAAACGTCTTCTCCTGCTGCAAACGTCTCTGGTCAATGACTTAACAGCAACAAAGGATGATCAACAAATTGAATTTCTTAATTTATGCCTGAGCTTTAATCGCTACCCCATCAGAGTTTTAAGTCCCACTGAGGCATCCGTAATTCTAAGCTGTGGCCTGGAAGGTGATGGAGGGTAAGTTACAGAGGTTAGGAAAAAAAAAAAAGGTGGTTGCTCTGAGACTAAAGCTAATGCTAGCTACCATGATTTGTTTCTGCACAAATAGCGAATTTATAACAAAGGTAGAGCTTTATATGATATAAATAAAAGTTATGTAGTCTGAGCTAATGAGCAGTAATGAATTAATTACCCATAGTTCCTTTGGGTTCCGACCCGCGGTGTTATTCGGCTAACAGGCTGGTTGGAGGAGCAGTTAGCTAAAGTTAGCATCCTCCTGCTTTTTACTGCTGTTTATGTTTTTAAACTGCAGTTTATGTTTGTGTATCTTATTTCTCGGACTCGGAGACTAACAGAGGCAGTTAAAATGATAAATAAAAACAACAAATAGTGAACTAGCATGAGTGAGACTGTTCTTCTTTTTTTCACTTTATTACTATAACAAACCAATAGTGTACAAAGACTGAGGTAATAACATTAGGAAAAAAATAAATAAAATATTAATAAGGCCAATTAATAACTATAGAGCAAGGTTTAAGACTAAAGAAAAGTAGAAATACTGGCAGTTACTTTCTTGAGATTTCAAATGTTTCAATGAGGTGTAAGAAAATTTAAATTGGTTAAGAAAAAAATGAAAACATGGAGTAGAACCTCTCCATTTACAGCAATGATTATGATATTTGACCAGCAGGCCATTTAACAAACCTAGAGAACGCCTTCTCAAATAAAGGCAAATTAGTTGTTGTCAAAAATCTATTATAGTAATCATTCAATAATTTTGATTTGAAGGCAGTCACAAGCATAGCATTAATTGTGACTGTTTTTAATAGTTAAAAAGAAAAAAATCTCTAATTAACAACATGTTAATGTACAAAAATTGCTAGTGATTTTAATGACCCCTGACTTATCAACAAATTAGTTTTTTTGGTTCATTTCAATTCAGTTTATTTCTATGGAGCCAATTTACAACACATGTTATCTCGGGGCACTGTACAATTCACTAGGGGTGTGATTAATAATCGTTTTGTGTCGATGCACCAATACAACAGCCAGCGATCCGATGCATTGACACGTCTGCAAGAGTATTGATTTATCGTTTTTCTTTCTTTCTTTCTTTCTTTCTGTCTGTCTGTCTGTCTGTCTGTCTGTCTGTCTGTCTGTCCTTCATTCTATCACTACTTTAAGGTTTGATTTAAAATATGCT